AACCGAACTTCACAGAGAGAAAATTCTAGAACATCATGTGCCCAACGGGACAATCCCAGAGGCTCCTCTCCTAACCGAACTTCACAGAGAGAAAACTCTAGAACATCCTCTGCACAGCGGGACAATCCCAAGTCCTCATCTCCCAGTCGAACCCACCAAAAGGAAAACCCCAGAACTTCCTGTATCCAACAAAATACCTCCAAAACCTCCACTCACCGAGACAACCCAAAAGCCTCTTGTAGCAGGTGGGAGCACCTCAGAAGTGCCTGCACCCAGCGGGATCCCCTGCACTGCTCTTCCCGTCAACGAGACAGCCCTGGGACCTCCTCTCCTCAGAGCTTCACCCAAAGGGACAATCCTGGACTGCCATCTCCCCGCTGCAGCCCTCAGAGGAGCAATCCCAGGAATTCCTCTCCCCATCGTACCAACAAGGACATCCCCTGGGCATCCTTTCCCCTCCGGCCCACGCCGAGCGATGGCACCCGAACCTCTTCTCCATCTCGATCCAAGCAAAGCGAGGTGCCCTGGGCATCCATTGCCCTCCGGCCAACCCAAGGCAACAGGCCTCAGACCTCCTCTCCCACCAGGCCAACCCAGCACGATGCACCCCAGTCCTGTGGAGCGAGCCAGTACAATGCGCCATCCCGAGCTGCCTCTTCCTCCCATAACCCATGCCCCCTCTGTGCGTCCCGGACTTCCTCCCCTCTGCACTCTGCAACACAGGGGGCACCCCCAACCTCTTCTGAACCCTCTCAGCCTCCATATGCTGTGTGCATCGGCCACCGCGATGCCCCTCGGGCCTCTTCGCCTCCTCGCTATCTGCAGCACGACCCGTTCCCCTTCTTTCCAGAACCCCGAGCCCCGGAGAGCGAAGCACCTCACCATGACCCTCCCTATGTGCCACCTGCTGTGTGCATCGGGCACCGTGATGCCCCCCGGGCGTCCTCACCCCCTCGCTACGCTCAGTTCGACCCCTTCCCCTTCCTGCCAGACGCATCAGATGCAGAGAATGAGAACGAGTCACCCCAGCACGACCCTCCGCACTTCCCCCCACCCGTGTGTATTGGGTACCGGGATGCGCCCCGGGCCTCCTCCCCACCTCGCCAGTTCCCAGAGCCCTCTTTCTTGTTCCAGGACCTCCCCAGGGCCAGCACCGAGAGCCTCATGCCCTCCACGGACTCCCTCCACGAGCACCCCCACGTCCCCACCCCCGTTTGCATTGGCCACCGAGATGCCCCCTCCTTCTCATCGCCCCCACGCCAAGCCCCTGAGCCCTCGCTCTGCTTCCAGGACCCTCCTGGAGCCAGTATGGAGAGCCTGGCCCCCTCCACCGACTCTCTGCATGGCTGCCCCCTGCTCCCCCCCCAGGTGTGCATCGGACACCGAGATGCACCTCGCGCCTCCTCCCCACCCCGCCACCCACCCAGTGACCTAGCGCTCCTGGCACCCTCGCCCCCACCAGGCAGCTCCAGGGGCTCCCGGGGCTCAGCACCTCCTGGGGAGACCAGGCACAACTTGGAGAGGGAGGAGTACACCATGCTGGCCAATCTGCCCCCGCCCAGGAGGCTGGCCCAGAGGGAGCCAGCACCCCAGGCACAGGGCAGCAACGGGGGCCGCACCCGCAGCCCCGGCCGCACAGAGGTGGAGCGCCTCTTCGGGCAGGAGCGCAGGTGAGCCTAAGGCCGGGCAGCCAGGTGGGCTGGGGCAGGACAGGTGGAAGGTTCTCAGGGTTAGATGGCCAGAAGCAAGGGTCAGGTCCTCCTGCCATTCTCTGGCTGTGTGACCTTGGGCAAGACACTTCATCATCTCCGTGTCTGCATCTGAGGGCGCTTTGAGGCTTAAGTGATACTGTGCACAGCCTCATGGTCAAAAGCAAAGACCAGAGTCAGGCAGGCTGGGTTCAAATCTCTGCATCCTGCGTTACCTGCTAAAATGAATTAACCTTTCTGAGCCTCAGTTTCCTCATCTGCCAAATGGGGGAGAAAATAACACATTTATTTAAATGAGTTTAAACTCTCAAACCATTTGTTTGAGAAGAAAGTGCCTATAATTCTTTTCTAACTTAGCAAAGAAAACTCACTATGCATTTCCCCACCCAGGGACGTCCATTTAAAACCTACGGCCAGTGCTCACTCTGGTAGCATATATACTAAAACCCATGGCCAGAGCCACATATTTGATTTTGTTTGGCAGAACTGGGGATGGAACACAGGGCCCTCACACATGCACGGGGCTCCTGCCGAGCTGTACCCCCAGCCTGGAGCCACGCATTTTGATTAAGACAGCTTGCAATGCTGTAGAAGGTAGCCATTATGTTCCCAGCACACGGTGACAATGCCTGAAATCCAGATGTCTTTTGAGTCTCCTTGGTCAACAGCGTGCCCCTGCTGCTGAAAGGGAAAATTTTTCCACTTTATCTGGCTGAGATTTCCATTCCCTGCAGTGCCAGCCCTCGAGCTTTGAAAAATCAGAGCTGGAATTCCACCCAAGGGTCAAGAGAACCAGGGGTAGAAAGTGTGTCTGGAACTCTCACAACTTCTGAGCATAAAATCCAGTGACTCTTAGCGTACTGACCGAGGGAGCCACCACCACAACCTGGTTTTAGAGCTTTTCCTGCACCCCAGATAGAGGGGAATGTAACATTCAGTACCTAAAATTCCTCTCTTTGCTGCCTTTGAGGCAACATTTCTCTGAGATTTGAATCTACATGAGAAACCTTATCTCTTACTCTTCAAACTTCCTTTCAGTAAACTTGAGCCATTTAATATCCAAATGACAATCTTCGAGGACTGCATTAGTGTAATTGTTTCTTTGCTTTTTTTTTTTTTTTTTTTTTTTGGTCTTTTTGAGACAAGGTCTTGTTATGCAGTTCAGGCTGGCCTTGAGTTCACTTTGAAGCCCAGGCTGGCCTCAAGCTTGCAGTGATCCTCCTGCCTCAGCCTCCTGAGTGCTGGGATTAGAAGTGTGCACCACCACGCCCGGCTCAGCTTTTTTCTTAAAGGAATACTTATTTTTAAATAACAGTTTTAGGTTTGCAACAGAATTGAAAGGAAAGTCTCATGTATCTTGATCCCACACGTACACAGTCTCCCCCACTAGCAACACCACACCACAAAGGTGCTTTTGATTATAATCCAGGAACCTATACCTCACTCAAAGTCCATAGCTGGTTTTTTTTTTTCCTTGTCTGTTTGAGACAGGGTCTTGCTATGCAGTTCAGGCTGACCTTGAGCTCACTTTGTAGCCCAGCCTGGCTTTGAACTCGCAAGGGTCCTCCTGCCTTGGCCTTGAAAGTGCTGGGATTACAGGCATGCGCCACCACGCTGGCCAAAGTCCATAGTTTTTTTTTTTTTTTGGTTTTTCTCCGGTACTGGGAACCAAACTCACGACCTTGCGCTTGCCGGGCAGGCGCTTTTCCGCTGAGCTAAATCCCCAGCCCCCATAGTTTAAATAATTAAATTTTGCTCTTGGTGTTGTGCATTCTGTGGGTTTGCATAAGGATGTTATCACTATAGTATCATTGCCCTAAAAAAATCCTCTTTGCATCATACCTTTTTATGATCACTATTTTTGGTCTGATGTCAATTTGCATACCTTTATTTTATCTAATAACCCAGCAGGGACGTTAAAGTGTTAAAATCAAGATGATTTTTAAAAAATCTCCCTTCCCTGATAACTTTTATAAAGGGTTTATGACAAAAGTCAGAAATATTTTTACACATTTGTTAGCCTTTTAATTGTTCATACACAGTTACTTCTATATATTTTATTCGTTTCTCTTTGAAGTGGATTATTTACCTTTCAGTCAAGATTTTGTAATTCTACTGAGTAAATTTTTTCCCCTATGGTATGTCACTTTTTCAAAGTGGAATATCAGGTCGGGCATGATGGCGCATGCCTGTAATCCTAGCATTTGGGAGGCTGAGTCAGGAGGATTGTTGCGAGTTTGAGGCCAACCTGGGCTACAAACTGAGCTCAAGGCCAGCCTGAACTGCACAGTGAGACCCTGTCTCAAAAAGACACCACAAAAAAAAAAAGAAAAGTGGAATACCATTTGTCCTCTGAAGACAAATTTGTAAGCTATGCATTTGTGGAAAGGATTGGAATTTATGTGTGGGTGGCTGTAGAGTTGTATTTTTTATTTCTTCCCATTTATTCAACTGATGTACATTTATTGAGCATCTACACTGTCCAAGCATTGTTCTGAGCCTGGAACATCTTTCTCGAAGAGCTGTCACATCAAAGCATTCAGAGTTTTCACTTGATACCTTAATTTTTTCCTTATAAGTTTTTGGAATGTCTTATCATAGAATCAGTTATAAGCCTTCTGTGTTCACCTGAATTTAAAATGGCCTTTCTCACGATGGTACACGTTTGTAATCCCAGCATTCTGGGAGGCTGAAGCAGGAGGATTGAAAGTCTGAGCTCACCCTGGGCAATTCAGCTCTCAATTAGTGAGACCCTGTCTCAAAAAAAAAAAAAAAAAAAAGGAGGGAAAAAATGTGGGAGGGGGGACCGGGGGTGTAGTTCAAGGTGAAGATCCTGGATTCAATCCCAAGTACTGAAGAACACACCTTACCTCGCTCCCTTACACAGGGGTGCCCCCCCCCCCCCCCGCTGCCTTACTGGGGATCGAACTCATGACCATTATCTTTGCTAGGCCTGATGTCCTATGTCCTCCCAGGTCACACTGGAAGCCTCTAGACCTCAGTTGTGGGGAAGACTCACTCAAAGGCCTCCGCTCTGCAGAGCAAGAAAACTCTCTCGGCTTAAATTAGGGTAAAATGGAACCTGATCAGGGGGCCCTCGAGTTTAGAAACTCTCACTCCAGGGAACGTGGGTTTGTCTCAGAGCTAAAAACTCAAATTACTGTGCTTTATGGATCTGATTGCAGGTCCCTGGGCAAAAGACAAAAGACAACTGCAAACCTCCAATGCACTTTTGTTTTTTTCCAGTATTGAGGATTGAACCCAAGGCCCCTGCACTGCACTACATCCCCAGCCCTTTTTTATTTTATTATTTTTATTCTGAGACAAGGGCAAAGTCACTAAGTCACTAAGCTGCCCAGGCTGGGCTCAAACTTGCGATCCTCCTGCCTCAGCCTCCCAGAATGCTAGGATGGTAGGTGTGCACCACCATGCCTGACTTATACTTTTTTTGACTTGGCCAAACCTGTGCTGCATATCATACAGTGATTTAGCTGGAGGCTGTCTGCTGCGCCTCCTCTGACCCCCTTTGGGCTTACCCTGAGCTCACCGCAGGTCATGATTTTCAGGCTTCTCTTGCTGGTTTGGTTCAACCATCAGAGACACAGTTCCACTTACCAATTTATCTTACTTCCGTATATTTGTGGTGCTGGGGATTGAATCCAGACACTCGTGCAGGGTAAGCCCTCCCCCAGCCCCCACCTATTCACCAGTTTAGATGCAGTCAGACTCTCAGACCCCATAGAAATAAATATTCATGGAGGGATTGGGCTTCAAGGTGACCCCTTTACTGTGGGAGGGCACAGATGTGTGCAGAGTCTATTTGGTGGTCTCTCTCTTTTTTTTTTTGGAAACAGGATCTCACTATGTAACCCAAGTTAGCCTTCAACTCCCAGTGATCCTCCTGCCTCAGCCTCCTAAGTCTTGGGATTATGGGTGAGAGGCTGAGTGCTGGAGTCCTGTGGGTTAGCTCTGAGTAGAGGATGAGGAGGCAGTGGGTTTAAGAAATCCTAAATTTGCAGTATGGACAGGGAAAGGACTGAAAGAATGGAATACAAGGTACCCAACATTCTGCCTCTCTCATCCCCCCACATGGGCTGCGTAATGTGTAATGGGATCATAGTACAAGAGCTTGGCACCTGGAACATAAAAATGCTCAATAAATGTTTGCTTCATTGTGATTATGTGTGCACAGTGCCTGGTACATAGTAGGTGCTCAATAAATGTGAATTCCCACAAGCACCAGTCTGACCATTGTCTGGGTGGCTGGAGGGCTCCTGGATGAGACTAGGGAGTCAGGGGGGGCCTAACCCCCTCCCCACCCCACCATCTTCACTAACCCCTTTCTTCGCTGGGTCACAGTCGACAGGCTGAGAAGCAGTGACCCCGTTTCCCATGGCATTGTCACAACAGCCCCACATTGCAGTTTTCAGAAGGGGAAACTGAGGCCTGAGAGGTTATCCCTCCTGAGGACCCTTGACAAGCGTGCAGTGGGTCTTGGGTCTCCCATGCCTCCTCCTATTGGGCTGCAAGTAGAGGGGCTGCTGTGCTGGGCGGAGCCCTCCCAAAGGCCTTGGAGCAGCTGTGTTTGCTCCTAGGAAGTCCGAGACTCCAGGGGCCTTCCAGGCTCAGGACGGGGGACGGTCACCACGACCTGGCCAGGGTCAGAGCCAGCCTCTCCGAAGACAGCACAGCTGTACCGCCAGCAGGCAGGTGAGCACAGCCTCTCCTTCCCTGTGGGTGCCAGGCAGGGTCCTGGGCAGGACGGTCGGCTGTGAAAGGGTCAGAGCCCCAGTCACAGTGCCCAGCTCTCCCCTCTCTCCGAGGGCCAGCAACTCTGGGCAAAATGCAAAGGACCCCAATCAGTCTTCTGAAGAGCCCCCTGCCATGCTATCCCCTTCCTTTATTACAAGATTTGGGGACAAGCTGGATGCTTTCATCGGGCCGCAGGGCCACCTCTTCCAGGATGGAGACTGGGTCTCTCAAGTTCTTCGAGGGCAAGGCCCACCCCAGGGGAACAGGTATCACGGGTGGAAATTCCAGCACCTGATAGCCCAGGGTGGAATCAATATCTCTGGGGGAGGGAAGCCCGAAAGTGAGCACTTCTTTACAGATCTCTTTCTGGGGCTGTGGAAAGTGGGTGAGAGGGAATAGCTGACACCTCAGGGAAGGACCCAGGGACCCCGCCTGCTTTTGGCTAGGCTGCCGTGAGGACCCAGCCTTGCCTGTCCCATGTCTGCCTCAGACAGACAGTGGCCACCTTGCTGGGTCCCTGGGCCTCACCCACCCCGCACATCCTTCTCAGGTGACCAAGGCCCCTGCCAAGCAGGCAGAACCAGCCAGGAGTCCCGAGAGGCAGCCTGAGGGGGACCGGCGGCTCCAGAGATCCTCACCGTGCCCTAGGACATCAGCGAGGCCCCCTGAGAGGGAGCTGCGGAAGAGGACGGAGAGAGCTCTGGGGAGGGGCCAAGGAGGCCCAAGGCAACCGCCGGGCGGGTGGCAGAGTCAGGAGGAGCTGCCAGGGCCCCAGGGCCCTCACAGAGGCCTGGAAAGGAGCTGGAGCAGCCAGGAGGAGGGCCCGGGCCCTGGAGGCTGGCCAGCACTTGGGGAGCCCAGCCTGGGGGCGGCCAGAGCCCTGGAGGATGCATGGCGAGGCCCTCCCAGGGAGCGCAGGGAGAGCTGGGGGCAGCCTGAGGCCTGGGAGGAGCCCCCCAGTAATGGGCTACAGGAGCACCCCCAGAAGCCGGCCCCAAGGGGCTGGGGCAGCCTGCAGGAGCTGTTCAGTACACCCCAACCTGGAAGCCCCTCAGAGCACTCCTGGGTAGGCCCGGCAGAACCCTCTTATCCTCAGCGGCCTGAGACGCCCACCTCCATGGGCTGGGGCCCTGAGAGGACCCCTGAGCTGGACTGGAGGGACCTGCTGGGCCTCTTCCGGGCCCCTGGGGAGGGGGCCTGGGCCCGACTCCCTAGACTGGACTGGGAAGGCCTCCTGGAGCTCCTGCAGGCCAGGCTACCCCACAAGGACCCAGCTGGACACTGGGGTGACCCAGCCAAGGCTTCAGGGCCACAGCCAGGTCCCCCAGAGACAAAGGAGGATGCCCTGGAGCAGGAGCGACACAACCAGCCTGAAAGTTGGGCTGAGGCCACTGTCACCAATGGACATAGCCCTGGGCAGCAGCCCCAGCACCCTGCCCAGCTACCCAGCCCCGCCTGCACCTCCACCCAGTGGCCAAAGACACAAGTGACAAGTGGGCCAGCAACCTCACCTCCGTCTGCTCCGCCACACACAGCCCAGCTGGAGCACAGCAGGCCGGCAGAGGGCCCCAGCTCCCCGGAGCCAGAGGTAAGCTGCCTTTGCCTCAGAGGGGTAGCCAGAAAGCCAGCTCCATCCCAGCAATTATCCTTAGAAAGGCTCCCTGAGATGTGACCCCAGCCCCTGCACCCCGTCCCAAAGCCCAGCCCTGCCTGTGTCATTCTGACCACTGCACGGGACAGCGGTGTGTGCACCTGCTACACACCCACCCTGTGGAGTATTTCCCAGGCCTATTCCCCTTTAGTCTTCACAGCGGCCTGGTGAGAAGGCGCTGCTCATGTGGATAAGGAAACCCAAGTTTCCCACGGCTGCTGAGGCGGGGGAACCCAGGTCTGCTCAGTGTAATCACCCTGAGCCTCAAGCTGGACCCTCTGGCTGGGGCCCTGTCCCTCCTGGCCCTAGGACCCCTGGGGCGACCTGGGACTGCAGCCAGTGTGCTTATGTCCGCTCCCCCTGCCACATATGCAAGTTGCTGCTGGGGCCAGGACGGCCTCATGCCCCTGCCCCGTGGCCCCCGCAGCTCCTCACACAAAGAGGCCACAGAGCGCTCCGTTGTGAGCCGGCTGCTTAAGTGAGAGCCATGTGCATAGTAGGCCTAGCACCAGGCGCCAGTGCCTCAGTGGTACTTCAGCGCTGCTGCAAGTCCAGAGCCTTGGTCTGGAGGTAGTGGGTGGACATGGCCCCGCCACCTGCAGCACCCCACCAGGGATACAACACGCAGCTTTGGACACCCCACCTCTCTGGGCCTTAGCCATAGAACAGGACCAAGCACTTCCTTAAACAGGCCCACTGGGTGACATGCAGTGTCCACATGTCACCCAGACCCTCCTCTCCTGGGTGCCCAGACTGGTGCCACCTCCCCCATGGATGACAAGGCTTCCAACCAGACCCAGGATTTACTGGGAACAATATCTCATGTGCTTTGTTACATGGGCCACATATGGCCAAGAGGGAACTGCCTCTATTCCCATCTTACAGATGAGGAAACTGAGCCTCCAACTCATTAGGTATTGACAGATGCAAAAGTTGTGAGAAATGAGGCTCAAGTATCCATTGCAAAGTCAGCTGCACTGTGAGCCCAGGTGGGGCCGGGGAACCCTCCCTCCTATGGCTCTCCATGGCTTTCTCTGCTTGGTCCAGATGTGCAGGGATGAGCCGGCGTGGTCCTGCCCTCACACTGCTGTTAGGCTTGCTGGGAGGTGGGGGCGCCCTGGCTGCTCAGGGAGCATGAAATTGTGTCTCAGGAGCCCCTCGGGTGCTGCAGGCTGTCTGTCTCCAATGCATGGGGACGTGGGAAAGATTTCAGCTGGAGTTGCTCCCCCCTGAGGCTCCAGGGTCCCTGGGAGGTTCTGGGGTGGTGACTGGGCAGGGGCATAGCCATCTGCTCCAAGGGCATTTCACAGATGACAAAGCAGAGGTGTTCACTGGGTCCAGCCAGGGCTCCAGTTGCTCTTCTCTAGGGAAACCCTTGGTGTGGCGTTCAAGGCCTCCTTCTCTTCCTTCCACCCCAGAGCTGCCTGTAGTTGTTCCGAGCCAGCTGCAGGGCTCTGCACATCTCCCTGTTGCCCCTGCTGTTCCCTGTGCCTAGGATGCTCTTCCCCTCCCATCTCCCCCAGCAAGTGTCTGTTCATTATTCAGGTCAGGTCAGGTGTGCTGTCCTGAGAAGCTGCCCCGAAAAATCACCCCTCCCCCAGGCTCTCGATGTTCCCCTTCAGGGACTGGCAGTCTTGCTTCCCTCCATCTGTCACGCTGGATCATCATTTCCCCAGAAGAAACGTGAGCTCCACGGAGCAGGAGCTATGTCTCCTTAATCCCTGTACCTCTGGCCCCCAGCCCAGGGCCTGACATGAAGAGGGGCTCAGCTCAAGGGGTGCCTGAGCCACGAATGCATGCAAGACACAGGGAGGGTTGGGGATGAAGCCCAGTGGTAGGTGGCTTGCCCAGCAGGCACAAGACTGTAGGTTTCAAGCTGGGTGTGGTGGCCACACCCATATTCCAGCCCCTGGGAGGCTGAGGCAGGAGGGTCATGAGTTTGAAGCCAGCTTGGACTACATAGTAAGACTGCATCTTAAAAAAAATAAAAAAGACAGGGTAAGATAGTGGGTAGAACATGGATGAACAATGGGTGGTGGATACATGAGTAGAATGAACATATGATGGCTAGATAATGGGTGATGGATAAATGGATGATACTTAGCTGATGGATGAACATGTAGTGGTGAACAAATCATTGATTGGGTGAGTGTTGGGTGGAATATGGATGGATGGATGGACAGGTGGATGGGTGGATGAGTGGGTGGGTGCGTGGGTGGATGGATGGATGGATGGATGGGTGGATGGGTGGATGGATGGATGGATGGATGGATTGTTGGATAGATGGATGGGTGGATGGATGGATGGATGGGTGGGTGGGTGGATGGATGGATGTCGATGGATGAGTGGGTGGATGGATGGATGAATGGATGGGTGGGTGGATGGGTGGATGGATGGATGATAGGTGGGTGGGTGGCTGGCTGGGTGAGCGATGAATGCATAGGATGGATGCAGAAGCTCATGGGTGGGATGATGGGTGGATGGGTGGATGGATCAATGGATGAGTGGGTAGATGGATGGGTGGGTGGGTGAGTGGATAGATGGATGGATGGGTGGGGGGTGAATGGCTGTTGCATGGCTGGAGGAAGGATACATGGATGTTGGATGGATGGGCAATGAGTAAATAGAGGGTGGATATATGAATGGATGGCAGATAGTGGATGTTTGAGGTGGATAATGCAGGCTGGATGCTGGGGGATACATGATGCTGGATGCTAGGCAGATGCTGGGTGGATGGATGATAGTTGGAGATGAGGTGGACAGCTGGATAGACTGGGCCATAGCCATAACCTGGGCTAATCTGTGTCCTTCTTATCTCCAGTTCCAACCAGAGGAGCCTGAGGCATCAGAACCAAGCAGAGGCCAAGACTCACTGACTGAGCAGGACCAGGCAGCCTCGGTAGTTGGGTCCTGGGCATGGATGCACAGGGAGGGGGATCAGGTTGGATGTGGGCTGGGTTCCCCTCTCGGGTCCTCTAGACCAAGGCTGGCTCTGCTGTGGGGTCATCTGCATGGGAGTGGGGCCCCGAGAAGAGGGCTTTGGAGCTGGTCAGCAGAGCCACCTCTGCATTAGGGACCTGGGTGGTGGATGATCCCAGGGTCAGAGGCCCAGAGCTCTGCTTCAAACTCGATGGACTGCGCGAAAAGGTCACTGCTCTTCCCCAAATAGCAGTTTGCCCCTGATGGTCTCTGAGGGCCTCTGAGGGCAGGGCCCTTCCTGTTTTAGAGGGCCGGAGAGAGGGCAAGAAATGCCAAAGGGAAGACAGCTGAGGAGGGGCTTCGCTCGGCTGGGCCCGGAGGCACCGAGATGTGTGCAGGAAGTGGCCAGAGGCTGTTCCACCAGGGTCTGGGTCCAGCTGGAGGGACAGCTCTGCCCCACCCAGCCCTGTGACCTGCAGAGCAGACCATTCTCGTCACCCTCAGCTTCCAGCGGGGTGAGGTCGGAGGGGAGGGAGAGTGAGACAGACTGTTTAGGGCTGTCTTCCTCATCCCCCTCTTCCCTGTGGCACCGCCGGAAGAGCCAGGTGTGACAGGGAGCGTTTGTGCGGCAGCCTGGACCCCCCCCAGCCTGGCCACACTGCTAGTCAGAGCCGGGGGACTCTGCCCGACCCCACACTGCGTGGGTGAGGAAACAGGCAGGGAGTCGTCCCAGCTCATACAGCCAGTCTGTGGGGACTCAACTAGAGCCGGGGGCGGGGGGCTCCACCCAGCGCTCCCTCCCTGCCCCCTCGCTCGCGCTGCTTGCTGGCTGTGCACTGGTCTGTGTGACCTGTCCCTAACTGCTTGGTGGCCAGTCTTCCTACCTGTAAATGCGAGGTGACAGGGACGCTGATCACTGACAGGGGCTTTGGTAACTTTGTTCTTCCGCTTTTGGGGTTATTTCTTCATACTTCCTGGAGACAGCTTCACGGACAAAGAGGAAATAGTAGTAATGGGGAACACCTGTAGTCTCCCAGCCACCCCTAATCCTAGGCAGTCTCAACTGGACGGAAGCACTAATTACCTCAATCATTAATTCATTCACTCATTCACTCGCATACACTTAGTAAGTACCTTCTAGTGCCAGGGTCAGAGGTGAGACAGAGTGGCACTATAGAGCCCATCTTGGGGACAGCTCTACGCCAGTGATCAGGGCTTGATGGGAGGGTGTAACCAAGGGGAGGGGCCCACCTTCTGAAGCCCACCCCCACCTATGCTTTAAGACTTCAAGCTCCTCTTCCAGAGAATCTGCAGATTCCAGGAAGGGATACCCTGGCTCTGCCCTGCCCCTGCCCGTAACCTGCCTTGTGATCTTTGGACCAGTGTCTCTGCTTTGCTCAATCCTCAGCTTCCCCAACACGGGTGATCTCGAAGCAAGAGAGTATTCTGGGCTCTGTGAGGGTATCTGCAAGAGTCTCTTCCTTTCTTGTAATTTGGGGTCACAAACCTAAAGCCAGGCAGGTAACAAAGGCCAAGAGTGCAGCCTGGGGTACTTGTGTAGGACCCTTTGGCATCAGATAGCTGTTGCCATGGGGAAGGTGAGCCTAGAGTTTCCATAGCTTTAGATAGTTTAAGAAAAATCAGAAATAGCTATTTAATAATCTCTGGATTATTTAACATTAGGAGCCTAGTGGAAAATAATCTGTAGACACCACTGACCTGAACACACATCTGTGATCTGTACCGTCCCCTTGGCAACTTGAGGTTTGATTTTAGGGTGTGGGGTCCACAGCACAAGGGCGCTGAGCCCCAGGGGCCCTGTGGGCAAATTAACAAGGTTTTTGCTTGGCAGCTCTCAGGGAGAGGGTGGTGGAGAACAATGGTACACAGGACCTTCGTGGTGGCAGAACAGGCAGGGGAGGCTGTGACCAGGGATGGCCTCAGCTTGACGAAGGGACCCACGGCCAACACTGGACCCTGTTTGACAGGCAGACAAGAGGCCGGCAGAGGGCAAGGCTGAGAGCCCGCTCAAGGGCCGACTGGTGACCTCATGGCGGATGCCCGGGGACCGGCCCACGCTGTTCAATCCGTTCCTGCTGTCCCTGGGGGTCCTCAGGTGGCAAAGGGTAGGCTGGCTCCCGCGCGGGGGCTGGAGGGGTGAGGGTGGACAGAGAGGGGAGGTCCAGGGAGGGGCTCCCCTGGAAGGAGAGCGGGCTGCACAGCTCCTGAGCCCCTTGGTCTCTTCGTGGTGAGTGTCCCATCCCCAGGGCAGGCTTGGGGCTCCCGTCCGTGATCAGGGTGAGGGGTGGCTGATGGTCTCAAAGCGAAAGCATTCAGTCTGGAGCGCTCACCAGCCCCTGGCCAGGGAGCCAGGTGGGGGAGAAAGGAAGGGGAGGCCATCAGGGGCTCTGGGACCGCAGAGCGTGTCTCCGACTTGGGCCCTCGCCAGTTTTACAGTCATCTGGCATTACGTAACCCGTCCCCTGCCCAGAGAGGCCTGTAAACACTCAGACCTCTGCGTGGGGCTTCCTCAAGCGCAGAGAGGGGAGGCAGCTGAGACTTGCAGCCTCCCCCTGCCCCTTCGCAGCAGGAGAGGAGGGGGCTGCCATCTGCAGGGACCAGGCGCTGGCCTCACCCTGGAGACGGTTGGCCCCGATTTTGCAGGTGAAGGGACTGAGGCTCATGGCAGTGGGTGAGCTCACCTGAGGTCACGCAGCTCGGGCGTCAAGGCGCTCACTGTGCTATTTACTCCCGGGCAGGAGAGGTGCTGGCAAAACTCAGAGTCCTGCTTGCCACATCTGTTGTGCGGGGGAAGTCTATGGGGACTCAGGGCTGCAGGGAGGAGTCGGGGTCAAGAGACACAGAGATGAGGAGGGCCGTGCAGGCACGCTTCCCCATCCTCTTCCCAATGCCTTCTGCCCTGCTCTTTGGGACTGGGGTGCCAGGGCAGCCAGGCAAACATGGTTATCTGGGCAGGATGGGACCTTCCAGCCTTGGGCAGCAACTACCTTATCACCTAATGAAAGGTCACCAACGTACAGCGCGGCTGGCCGGCAGGAGGGGGAGGGCAGTCCTCTGTGAAGAGAGGGAAGGGGGAGAAACACGCTGGGGTGATGGTGACAGCAATTACTGCGCACCTGCTGTGTCCCTGCTCTATGCGCATTGCGTGGCCTGCCTGGCTTCAGCTTACCCCTTACCAGCAGGCTGAGTTATTCCCGCTGTCCATTATACAGATGAGGAAACGAGGCTCGGAGGAAAAGTCACTTGTCCCAGGTCACACAGGGACGAGGGACAGAGCTGACATTCAAACCCTGCTCTGGTGGAACTCAGAGCTGTGTTTATAAACCCTCCCCGGGGCGGTGTGCTCTGATCTCCTTAGAGTCACCACTGATATCCCCATTAGACAGATATGGCAGCTGAGACTTGGCGAGTTTTCGGGCAGCTGTTTTCCCACTTGGGAGTGAGGACACTCAGGCACTAGGGATGGGACTTCAGGGGCCCCACAGATGGTTATTTGGAGAAGCTTCAAACACATCTCCCATGGAAGTCAACAAGGCCAAGAACCAGGAAGCCTGGGGATAGATTCTATCTCTGCTCCTAACTTGTGTGCTTTGGGGCACTGTCTCACCACTCTGAGCCTCAAACAGACCAATGGCTTGAGACCGGACAACCCCAAAGTTTGGTGGCTTTTGTGTTTGCCAGCATAACATCTCACCCTGGGGTCCCTGAGGTTGGGCTGCCTCTGTGCTGCTGAAGCGAGTTTTGGTTTCTTCATTTGTGTATTCATTCATCTGACCAGTGTTTACTGAGGATGTACTGTGGCCAAGGCTGACCCTGGGCTGCCTGCAAGAGACAGAAAGACCCTCATCCTGGCCGCTGAGAGCACTGTGAGGGCAGGCTCTGGGTAAGGGGTCAGATACAGGGAGTTCCTTCGAAGGAGTCAGATGCAGGGAGCACTTGGGAAGCAGTCAGATGCAGGAGCTCCAGGCAAGAAGTCAGATGGGGGAGCTCCAGGGAAGGGGTCAGATGCAGGAAGCACCCGGGAAAGAATTTCTGACTTTAACCCTTTGGTTCCCTTTGAACTGAGACTTCAAGTGTGAGGAAGAATTTTCTAGACAAGCTCCTGGGGGTGCCAAGAAGGTATGTGTGTGTTGAGGTGGGAAGACAGGAAGGGAAGTGTTCCAGACATGGCAGTCAGGAGGTACAGAGGATGTGGCTTATCCCGGGAATCCCCAGCAGGCCAGCCTTGTGTCCCTAGTATGGAGAAGGTGTGCACGAGCAAGGGGACTGCAGGCCAGACGCCCGGTGACTTCCCGGCACCAGGAGAGCGGACAGCTTTGCGTGTGGGCACGTTCTGGGCACAGCGTGGAGGCACTAGAAGCCAGGAAACCAGGGAGGGGCTGGTGCTGCGGGCCATGTCCCTGTGGTGGGCAGGCTCCCTCCTCTCTCAGGGCTGAGGGTCTGACTGAAGTGTAGGGTGAGGGTGGGAAAGTGCACACTGCCAGAGGCCACCACTGTCTCCTGAGGTGATCTCTGTGTGGCTTCATTCCTCACGGTGAGGAGGGTCCCAGTGGGCAGCGCTGGCAAAGGACTTCAGCTCCCTGGACTTCCTTTTTTTTTTTTTTTTTGTCTTTTTGAGACAGGGTCTCGTTATGCAGTTCAGGCTGACCTTGAGCTCACTTTGTAACCCAGGCTGGCCTCGAACTCGCAACAATCCTCCTGCCTCAGCCTCCCAAGTGCTGGGATTACAGGCATGCACCACCACACCTGGCTCGACTTCCTTTTTTTTTTTAATGGGTGAAATGGGGATAGGAATTACAAGAGCAATGATTTTTTTTTTTTTTTTTGAGACAAGGTCTTATAATGTAGTCCAGCTGGCCCCCAAACTAGAGGCGATTTTCCTGCCTCAGCTTCCTGAGTGCTGGGATTACAGGTGTGCACCACCACACCCAGCCTGATTTTTGAACTCTAAATCAAGACAACAGAATAACGGAAATGCAAATAACCCAGGCTTGCTTAGTAATCCTAAGGACAGATAACTAGGGATAAGGCGGTTTACTCGAATTAATGGTTAACATGCTCACCACAGGGCTGTAATTCATATGTACTGAGGCTGGGGGGCATGGGACATTCATGAGCATACCAACAGTGGTTCAAGCTGGCGGGAAGGTGTTAATCCTTAGAACAAACTCACGAGGTAGTAGCATTAGCCCATTTTACAGGGGGTGAAATTGAGGCACAGATAAGTCAAGTACCTTGCTTAAGGTAATACAGGATTTGAATGGCTATGCTATACAGACTGTCATGTGGGTTTAGCAACAAATTCCATCCTTCATCTGCAGGACTCTGGTGAGCTTTAACAAACTGCCAATGTTCTTGCAAACTGTGCGATGGGTGTACACCCACAGGAGGAACCCAAAGCTAAGTTCTTAATAATTCCGTCTCTTACCGTGTGACCCCAAGCAAGTCTATCCACCTGTCTAAGCCTCTGATGTTAGTAAAATGGAGACAAGGAAGGACCAAAGTTCCCTACACAGGTAACAAGTGGGACCCAGTACCTGTCGTTGGTACTGGGTGTCTCCAGCCAACCAGGCATGGAGACCTAGTGGCCCCTGCGCTCCAGCTGGGGCGGGAAGCAGGAGCCCAGAGACGAGGGGGCCACGCCCACACTTTCCCAGCCCCCTTGCTATAGCCGCACAGTCACCTGCGCGCCAGGCCCTTCCTTTCCCCCAGTCCCGCCCGCTGGCGCCCGAACCGGGACCGCCCTCCTGGCCGCCGGCCCCATCCGCTCGCCCGCACCGCCCTAGCGCGTCCGCCCCGTCGCGCGGGCCCCGCCCTCAGGCTCGTTCCGCGTTCTCATTGGCCAGCGCGTTGCCCCTGCCGCTGTTTGTCCCGGCATCTCCGCCGCCCATTGGCCCACCCGGGTCCTCCCAGGAAGTTTGAAAAAAAAAAAAAAAAAAAAAAAGTTTTATGGGCGGATGGAAGGGGCTGGGACCACGGCGAGGAAGGGAAGGGCTGGAGCTGCGGCGGCGGGCGGCCGAGAGGGGCGGCGGCGGCGG